ATATATATATATATATATATATTTTTTTTATATATATATATTTATATTTAAAATTTTTTAAAATTTATTCGGCTTTTAATCAAAACAAGAAAATAAATTGAAATAAAATTTTTAAATAAATCTGAAGATGAATTTTAAAAAAAAAAGCATTTGAATCAATTAAAAAAAAAATCAGCAAATATTGATAAATAAATTGAACAATGAATTATTTAATCAAAATCTTTTTATAAACAATTTTTTTTTACCCGTTTTCCGCCATTCATGATAGAAATATCCATTTGTTTCATGGCTCGATATTTTTCTATGATCAAAATTCATTTCGATTAAATTTTCAAAAAAACTGTTCATCAAAGTAATTTTTTTTCAAAAATAATTCTCAATACAGATCAAGGAATTTTAAATTAATTCTAAATCTTTTTTAAATTTTTTTTTTACTTTTATCAAAACATTAAAGATTCTTAATCTTTTGAACGATTTTTTTTTTTTTTCTTTTATTACTGTTTTTTTTCTTTTTCCTTTTCCCTGCTTTTCTCTAGTACAGTTTTCATCTCTTTAATTTAATTTCCTATTTCTTTCTTTCTTTCTCCTGTCTCTTTTTTTTTATTTTAAATTTTTTTTTTCTTCTTTTTTGAACTTTCCGTTCATTTATTCATTGTTCTTTTATAATGACATCTTTAATGCTTTCATTCATTCTTCTTTCTTCAAAACTAACAGAAAATTTTTTTCTTTCTTTCTTTTTTTTCAACAATTTTATTTTTTAATTTCTTCTATTTTTCTTTCAACTTAAATCTTTTCTTTCTTTCTTTTTTTTTTTTTTTTTTTGATTTCTTTCTGAAATCCAATTCTTTTTTCTTTCTTTTCTTTTTTCCTTTCAAATAAAATCTTTCTTTTTTCTTATATTTTCTTTTATAATCTTCATTTTTTTTTTAGAATTCCTTGCTTTTTTTATTCAATATTCATCTTTCTTTCATCCTTTTTTTCTTTATTTTTTTTTTTTTTTCTTTTCATTTCTTTTCATTAATTTCCTCTTTTTGCTTTTTTTCTCAACAAAATTTGAAACTTTTTTTTTTTTTTTATTCTTTCTTTTTTTTAGCAAATATTTTTCTTTTTAAACATCGTTAGATGAAAATTTTCTTTCTTTATTTTCCTTTTTTTTTCATTTATTTAATTTTATTTTTATTTATTTTATTCATTCATTTTTTTTTTTTTTCTTCATTTTTTCATTCATTCTTTTTCAATTTTTCTTTCTTTCTTTCTTTGAATTTCTTTTTTTTTTATTATTTTTTTCTTTTAGGAAAAGTTTAATTTTTATATTTTTTATTTTTCTTTTTTTTTTTCTATTTAATAATTTTATTCTTTTTCTAATTTTCTTTCTTTTTTCTTTTTTTTTTAAATTTCTTGTCTGTTCTCTCTTTTTTTACATCTTTTTCTTTTTTTTTCTTTCTTTCTTTCTTTTCTTTCTTTTTTTCTTTCTTTCTTTCTTTTTTTTTTTCCATTTTTTACTTGTTTTATTTTTTCTTTTAGAAATCATTTTTTCTTCTTTTTTTTTTTTTTTTTATTCCTTTTTTTTTTTTCTTTTCTTTCATTTCTTTTTTTCTTTCTTTCTTTCTTTTTTTTTATATTTTTATCATTTTTTTCTTTATTTTATTTTTTTTTCATTCATTTATTTTTCTTTTTTTTTTCTTTATTTTTTTTTCTTTTTCATTCTTTCTTTCTTTCTTTCTTTTCTTTCTTTTTTTTTTTTTTTTTTTGAAACAAACTTTCCTTCTATCTTTTATTTATTCATTCAAAAAAATTGTTCTTTTTATCTTCATTTTTCATTCATTCTTTTTTTTCTTCATACCTTTCTTTTTCTTTCTTTTTTTTATTTCTTTTCTTTTTTTCTCTTTTTTTTATTTTACTTTTTTCTTCTCTTTTCTTTTATTTATTCATTCATTCATTGTTCTTTTTTATCTTCATGTTTTCATTCATTCTTCTTAATTCATTTCTTTTAAACTTTTTCTTTTTCTTTCTTTTTTTTTTCGTTTCTTTTTCTTTTATTTTACTTTTTTCCTTCTTTATTTCTTTTTATTTATTCATTCATTCATTGTTCTTTTTTCTCTTCATTTTTTCATTCATTTTTTTAATTCATACCTTTTTTCTTTCTTTATTTTATTTCTTTCTTTTTTTTCTTTCTTTTTTTCTTTTCTCCTCGTTTTCTTTTTTTATTTTTTTAATTTTTTTCCTTCTTTATGTCTTTTATTTATTCATTCATTCATTGTTTTCTTTTTTATCTTTTCTGTTTTCATTCATTTTTTTTTTTTCCATTTTTTTTCTTTCTTTCTTTCTTTCTTTCTTTCTTTCTTTTCTTTTTCTTTTCTCTTTTCCTTTTTTTATTTTCCTTTTTCCTTCTCTATTTCTTTTATTTATTCATTTTTTCATTGTTTTTTTTATCTTCATGTTTTCATTCATTCTTCTTAATTCATACCTTTCTTTCTTTCTTTCTTTTTTTTTTTTTTTCTTTCTTTCTTTCTTTCTTTCTTTTTTTTTTTCCTTTATTTTCCTTTTTCCTTCTCTATCTTTTTTATTTATTCATTCATTCATTGTTCTTTTTTTTTCATGTTTTCATTCATTCTTCTTTTTATTTTTCTTTCTTTTCTTTCTTTCTTTCTTTCTTTCTTTTTTCTTTCTTTCGTTCTCTTTTTTTCTTTATTTTCCTTTTTTCCTTCTCTATGTCTTTTATTTATTCATTCATTCATTGTTCTTTTTTTTCATTTTTTTCATTCATTCTTTTTAATTCATTCTTTTCTTTCTTTCTTTCTTTCTTTCTTTTTTATTCGTTCTTTCTTTTTTTTTTTTTTATTTTCCTTTTTTTTTCTTCTCTATGTTTTTATTTATTTATTCATTCATTGTTCTTTTTATCTTCATGTTTTTTCATTCATTCTTTTTTAATTCATTATTTCTTTCTTTTCTTTTCTTTTTCTTTCTTTCTTTCTTTCTTTCTCTTTTTTTATTTATTTTTTCTTTTTTTTTCCTTCTCTATGTCTTTTTATTTATTCATTCATTCATTTTCTTTTTTTTTATTCATGTTTTCATTCATTCTTTTAATTCATACCTTTTTATTTTCTTTTTTCTTTTCTTTCTTTTCTTTCTTTCTTTTTCTTCCTTTCTCTTTTTCCTTTATTTTTCCTTTTTCCTTCTCTTTGTCTTTTATTTATTCATTCATTCATTTTCTTTTTTATCTTCATGTTTTCATTCATTCTTCTTAATTCATACCTTTCTTTCTTTCTTTCTTTCTTTCTTTCTTTCTTTCTCCTTTCTCTTTTTTAATTTATTTTTCTTTTTTTTTATTCTTTTTCTTTTATTTATTCATTCATTCATTTATTCTTTTTTCATTTTTTCTTCATTCATTCTTTTTCATTCATTTCTTAATTTTCTTTTTTTTCTTTTTTTCTTTCTTTCTTTCTCCTCGTTCTCTTTTTTCCTTTATTTTTTTTTTTCCTTCTCTATGTCTTTTATTTATTCATTCATTCATTGTTCTTTTTTTCTTCATTTTTCATTCATTCTTTTTTTTCATTCATACCTTTTATTTCTTTTATTTCTTTCTTTCTTTTTCTTTCTTTTTTCTCTCGTTTCTTTTTTCTTTTTTTTCTTTTTTCCTTTTTATTTTTTATTTATTCATTCATTCATTGTTCTTTTATTTATTCATTTTTTCATTCATTCTTTTTAATTTCATGTTTTCATTCTTTCTTTTTTAATTCTTTTTTTTTATTTTTTTTTTCTTTCTTTCTTTCTTTCCTTTATTTCTCTTTTCCTTTATTTTCCTTTTTTTCCTTTTCTTTGTCTTTTATTTATTCATTCATTCATTGTTTTTTTTTATCTTCATGTTTTCATTCATTTTTTTTAATTCATACCTTTTTTTTTCTTTCTTTTTATTTCTTTCTTTCTCCTCGTTCTCTTTTTTCCTTTTTTTTAAACTTTTTTTTCCTTCTCTATTCTTTTTATTTATTCATTCATTCATTGTTCTTTTTTATCTTCATGTTTTCATTCATTCTTTTTTAATTCATACCTTTCTTTCTTTCTTTCTTTCTTTCTTTTCTTTCTTTTCTTTTTTCTTTCTTTCTTTCTCCTCGTTCTCTTTTTCCTTTATTTTTTACATTTCCTTCTCTATGTCTTTTTATTTATTCATTCATTCATTGTTTTTTTATCTTCATGTTTTCATTCATTTCTTTTTTTAATTCCTTACCTTTCTTTTTCTTTCTTTCTTTCTTTCTTTCTTTTCTCCTCGTTCTCTTTTTTCTTTATTTTCCTTTTTTCCTTCTCTATGTCTTTTATTTATTCATTCATTCATTGTTCTTTTTATCTTCATGTTTTCATTCATTCTTTTTTTCATTTTTTTTCTTTCTTTCTTTCTTTCTTTCTTTTTTCTTTCTTTCTCCTCGTTCTCTTTTTTCCTTTATTTTCCTTTTTTTCTTCTCTATGTCTTTTATTTATTCATTCATTCATTGTTCTTTTTTATCTTCATGTTTTCATTCATTCTTTTTAATTCATACCTTTCTTTCTTTCTTTTTTTTTTCTTTCTTTCTTTTCTTTCTCCTCGTTCTCTTTTTCCTTTATTTTTTTTTCCTTCTCTATGTCTTTTTTTTATTCATTCATTCATTGTTCTTTTTATCTTCATGTTTTCATTCATTCTTTTTAATTCATACCTGCCAAACGATTCCCTCATTCTTTTTATTCATTATTCTCTTTTTTCTTTTATGTCACACATTTCTTCTTTCTTTGTCTTTATGATTTTCGTTCATCCATTTTTCCTTCTTTATGTTTTCTTCCTTTCTTTTTTTCTTTCTTTCTTTCAGTCGGTCAGTCAGTCACTTACTCCTACTCTGTTTTTTCGTCTTTTCTTTCTCATCTCAAGATCTATTTCTTTCCTTCTTCAACTATTTTAAGATGAAAGAAGTCAAAAGATCTCTCAATTTCTCATCTTTTCTCTCTCTTTCTCTCTCTCTCTCTCTCTCTCTCTTTCAACAAGTTGGATTTTGTAAAGTCATTGTAAGAAACTTGGTAATATTTAGATTTAATCTTCCCCGTAAATATAAGAAAGACAGAAAAAACGAAAATTTTGTATACGAAAGAAAGAATAAATGAACGAAGAAGAAAGAAAGAAAGAAAGAAAGAAAGAAAGAAAGAAAATCAAACAAAGAAACAAAATAAAATGTGACGGAAACTGAGTGTAAGAAAAAATGACGAAGTACAAAGAAAGAAAAATAAAGAAAGAAAGACAGAATCACTGAAAGTTTTTTCCAAAATAAACGAGCTTGAAAAAAGAAAGAAATAGAAAGAAGAATTTAAAGAAACAATAAATGAAAAAAAATGAACAAATAAGAAAAGAAAGAAAAAAGAAAAAAAAATCAAGAAAGAAAGAAGAAAGAAGAAAGACAGTTAAGAAAACAAGAAAGAAAAGAAAGAAAGAAAAAGAAAGAAAGAAATAAAGACTGTGTGATGTTTCCCCTTCTAAAAAGAAAATCAAAGTGTCTGCTGGGAAGAAAGAAAGAAAGAAAGAAAGAAAGAAAGAAAGAAAGAAAGAAAGGAAGAAAGAATGAAAGAAAGACAGAAAGGAAAAAAATAGGCGTAGATTAGAAAGAAAGAAAGAAAGAAGGAAGGAAGGAATAAAGAAAATTAAAACAAATGAAGAACGAAAGGAGACAATGGAAAGAAAGAAAGAAAGAAAGAAAGAAAGAAAGAAAGAAAGAAAGAAAGAAAGAGACAGGTAATAGAAAGAAAACAAGGCAGAAAGAAAGCAAGAAAGAAAGAAGATAGAAAGATAGGAAGGAAGAAAAAACGAAGCAAATAATATAAAGAAAGGCACAAAAAATGGAAGACATGGAGATAGACAGAAAAAGAAAGAAATACAAAGAATGAATTTAAGAAAAATATATTTCCGAATAGATAAATGAATAAAAGAACAAATTGTTTGGCAGGACGAATGAATAAAAGAATAAATCAAAAAAAGAATGCATGTATGAAAGTATTCTTAAAACAAAAAAGAAAAAGTGATGAACTTACGGAATAAAAGAAAGAATACATAAATGAACGAATGAATAAAATGTGTGAATTAAGGAATGAATGAAATAACGAACGAGTGAGAAGATGAATGAATAAAAGAAAGAAAGAATGAAATAAAGAATGAATGACAGACTGAATGCATGAATGGAGTAACGAATGAATAAAAACGAATAAAAAAAAACGAAGGAATTAAACAAATAACAAAAGAACATTCGAAAGAATGAATTAAGGAAGGGACGAATAAAAGAATGAAGGTGTAAAAGAAATAATAAACGAATGAGAAGGAATTTCAAAATGAAAACAGGAAAGGGAGAAAACATGAAAGAAAAAGAAGAATACGGAAAACTGACGAAAAAACCATGAATTGTTTATCTAAAAAAAAAAACAAAAAAGAAATCATTTGAAAACAGCAAAAATAATTCGGGCAAAAGGAGTAAGCGGGAATTTAACTCGGAAATGAGAAAAAGCACAAAGAAGATTAAACGAAAGTAAAGAAAGTATTTTGAAGAAGTAAAAAAAAAAAAAAATCAATCGGGGTAATTGAAAGAATGAAATCGGGCCAAGAGGTACAAGAAAAAAAATGTAAGTATTTAAAAAAAATGATAATATTCCAAATGTTTAATCGAAAGAACAAAAAAAAAAAAAAAAAAAAAGAAGAAGAAAAAGAAAATGACGCCTTCGTTTCCAATAATGACGGTAAGGAGAAACGGACCAATTTGCGCACGCGCAGATGTATGCGTGACGAATTCCGATTTCTTTTGTCAGGCAAAAGGTAAGCGATCATGAATTGGTAAACAAAGACACGCACAAAATTACGAGAGGTAACCATCTCAATAGCAGTCTCTGTCTCTCTGTCTCTCTCTTGCCCCCCCTCTCTCTCTCTCTCTATCTATCTATCTATCTATCTATCTATATATATATATATATATATATATAATTCAGTTTATACATATTTATCTTTCTATCTAATACATTTTATTCATATCTATCTATCTATCTATCTATCTATCTATCTATCTATCTATCTATCTATCTATCTATCTATGTAATACTACTTCAAATCATATCTATCTATCTATCTATCTATCTATCTATATATATATATATATATATATATATACATATATATAATTCAGTTTATTCATATTTATGTTTCTATCTGTCTGATTCATTTTATTCATATGTATCTATCTATCCATCCATCTATCTATCTATCTATCTATCTATCTATCTATCATCTATCTATCTATCCATCTATCTGTCTATCTATCTATCTATCTATCTATCTATCTATATATATATATATATATATATATATATATATATATATATATATATAATTCAGTTTATTCATATCTATCTATAACTCTAACTAGCTAGCTAGTTGTTCATCTATTTATCTAATTCTCTCTATTCATATTTATCTATCTCAATCTGTACATTATCTATCTATCTATCTATCTATCTATCTATCTATCTATCTATCTTCATGTATGGTTATATATCTCTGTTCATTATCTATCTATCTATCTATCTATCTATCTATCTATCTATCTATCTATCTATCTATCTATCTCAGTCTGTTCATTATCTATCTATCTATCTATCTCAGTCTGTTCATTATCTATCATCTATCTATCTATCTATCTATCTATCTATCTATCTATCTATCTATCTATCTATCTCAGTTGCACTGTTTATTTATCTGTCTATCTATCTATCTATCTCATCTATCTATTCATCTATCTATCTATCTCAGTCTGTTCATTATCATCTATCTATCATTCATCATTTATCTATCTATCTATCTATCTATCTATCTATCTATCCTGTCTGTTTATTATCTATCTATCTATCTTTCTATCTATCTATCTATCTATCTATCTATCTATCTATCTCAGTTTATTTCTATCTATCTATCTATCTATCTATCTATCTATCTATCTATCTATATCTATCTATCTATCTCATGTATGGTTATATATCTCTGTTCATTATCTATCTATCTATCTATCTATCTATCTATCTTCATGTATGGTTATATATCTCTGTTCATTATCTATCTATCTATCTATCTATCTTCATGTATGGTTATATATCTCTGTTCATTATCTATCTATCTATCTATCTCAGTCTGTTCATTATCTATCTATCTATCTATCTATCTATCTATCTATCTATCTATCTATCTATCTATCTCAGTTCATTCAATGTTTTATGTCTGTTCCTTGCTATCTCTATTCATATCTACCATTTTTTTTTTTATCTCAGTCGTTATTTTTTATCTTTACTCATCTGCATCAATCCATTTAAAGCTGACTCACTGGCTGAGATAATTGCATATTTAAACTCTATTGTCTTTAGGCGCCATTCGAGTCACGTTGAACTTCATTAGCCATAAAATATTGGCACAACACAATCTTCCTACGCCTCTCATAGTCGCTACATTAGTGCAGTTGTAAAATCTTCAATATCTACACCGCATAAACACCTATCAATGTGTATAGGAACGCTTTTCTAAACATCTAAAGATCTATACAAAGAACGCGTCTTCATTCAAAAACATTTTGTATATGTATATATATATATATATATATATATATATGTGTGTGTGTGTGTGTGTGTGTGTGTGTGTGTGTGCGTGCGTATGTGCGAGAAGTGTGTGCTTACCAGCGTATATATTTTTTCCATGAAATGTCTCTTCTTTGATGTATTCATATTCAATTTGGTTAACAATAATGTGGAACAGTTGGTGGCAGTAATTGGACATGTATTTATCTAAACCTTTGAGGTTGAACAGACCTCCTCAGATATATATATATATATATATATATATATATCTTTTTTTGAGCTAGACATATATCAAAATGAACCTGAGCGCAAAAATACACACAATTAGATAGAAAAGAAGAAAGAAATATTGATATATTTGTGTGTATATGTGTTTATATAAAATTGATAGATGAACGTACTGAGACAGATTGATATAAATAGACTGAATTATATATATATATATATATATATATATATATATATATATATATATATATATGTATGTATGTATATATATATATATATATATATACATATATATATATATATGTATATATATAAATATACATATATATATATATATATATATATATATTTTCTACATATATATATACATATATATATATATATATATATATATATATATATATATATATATTTATAAGTGTGTCCATGAAAATGTACACCTATCTATATAAACGCATTTTCATCTATGATATATGTTTGTGTAGACCTGTGTGAAAGGTACGCAAAGAATATGATTGATGTTTCTAGAAGATATACTTCTATGCACCTATATTCATACTATACATATATCATATTATGATATTAAAAATTATTCCTACACACACACACACACATATATATATATATATATATATATATATATATATATATATATATATATCCCACTTCGATATACTTTATGTTTTTTTACCATACCCATATATATCTATAAGTATATATATAAAGGTATGTTTTATGTAAAAAAAAGAAGGTAACAATTATATATCGTAAAAAAAAAAAAGATTACAAATTTTCGAAGTTATTCCTATTAAGTCAAATAAAGCATTAATCACTTATACTTCTGGAATAGCCATTCTGAAATGTATTCAAACCGTAAGAATCCGCATTAGGGCACGTTCGATCGGTTCCACAGATCGTTAAATCTCAAAAGAAATAATTGTTATATCAAATCCACGTGACATGACAAACATTCAAAACATAAAGTTCAAAATCACCACAAACAATCATTAAAATGACGAAGAATTTAATTTCTTTTATTCGTGTTAATGACTGAAGCCAGATAAAGACCAATCAACACGAACTGAAACAGTTCTTGTTTAACTTTAACCGCAAGACACATTTCTCCGCTAAGAAGAAAAATGAATGGGAAAAATATAATAGACATATCGTGTCTTTTCTCTTCAACAGAACCTGTTTAAATGAACTTTTATTGCCTAGATATAGCCAACTTTATACACATATAAATATCTGGGTGTTAAAAACTCATTGGTTTAAAAAATTCTTGTAAAAATCAAATAACTGTCGGATTGTAATGAAATTTTTCAGGACTTATTCACATATGAATAAAATTATTTTTGAAATTTTTTTTTCAAATCTTGGTAAAAATATATATATATATATATATATATATATATATATATATATATATATATATATATATATATATATTTTGTCTCTGTTACCTCCACTTACTTAATTTAATGAAATTTCAAGAAATTTAAATTTCAACCTCTTCGTATTTACATTAGTTAAAAACAGGCCCCCTTAGCGAATTTAAATCATCAATTTGTTTTTGTCAAACAGACACACCATTTACCGAAAATTAGCCATGAATAATAAAATAAAATAAAAAAATGCAATAAAACTATGACATTATTTAATTAGTAAACTTTTAATTGATTTTATAAATTAGATATATTAACGACACTATTGCCTTCAGAAAGAAAAATTCGATGAATAATGCATTTTTAGAAGAACTGCTTTCATTTTTTTAAAATTTTAATTAGAAAAAATTATTAATTTTTAAAACTTTCAAAAACCTGTATTATTTCAGACATTTATATGATATTATCATTAAGTGAAAATTATATTTACTAATCATAAATGAAAACACTTAATATAAATCATCAAACATCAATATTTTAAAAAGAATTTTGAATTGTTTGTACCGGTATAATTGTGTCGTATTTTTGTAGGTACGGGTGACCATACACGATATTATCAGAAAATAAAAGCCATAACTAGATTAAATTTAAAGCTGAGATTTCTAAAATTCAATAAAAGATTAGATTGCAGGGAATATTTTTCTAAATTTTTAAAGATAACTGAGTACTTAAAAATTATAAAAAAGGCGCTCATGTTATTTTCTTCAGTTATGTTTAGAACAACATTAGATCTGTCATCACGTTGTCAAACATCAGCATAGCTACTGTGGGGATAAAAAAATGCATCTCTACAATATTTTAAACTTAAATTAAATAATGTCTTAAATCATATGAATTATACTTTAAATCAGCTGATATTCCTCAAATAAAGTTTCTGTAAAATATATTTTATTCTTTGAAGATTTTTTTTAATAAAGAGAATAATTTAATATTGCGATGAAAGATGACTAGAAAAGGGCGCGAATTAGCGATTTTAGCAACAACAAAAAGAAACAATTTTCCAGTCAATTTAAATTAGTTTTTGAAATACAGCAAAGTATTTTGATTATTGGATATATTACATTTAACCTATTAGC